ATACTCTAACTCTTACAAAAGACAAGTAAGGGATCTATTTCAGAATGGTACTTGTCAATAATAAAGAAATATGAAAAATTAAGCTAGGACAGTTCACAAGAACTTGGAAAAAAGATTGGTTAAAGTGAAGTCCAGAATATCCAGTACTAAATCTTAACCTTGATAAAAGGCAAAAACTTTGAATGGTCATCATGAGCAATAATTAATAGTAACAACTTGTTTGGGGAAGTTGATTTTAGATAACAATAAAAGATGCATTAAAATAGATTATTTCAAATATAACAGCCTCAAGGATAACTTAGGATCAAACCTGATGTGATGCTAGGGCTGCTCAGAAGAAATCAAGACTAAAAACTAATGTATAGCAGAATCAAACATAGAACAAACATATATGGTTTCTTATCTTAATACTAGAAAATCTACAAGGAGAGCTCAATTTTTAGAAATCTCTTGTTTCAAGGTAGCCTTAGAGGGATCAATAAGTAGAATAATTCATATAGACTCAGTGACTACACAATGTGATAGAAGACAACTGAAAGAAGTAGAGATAGAGAACTGGATGGAGAAGCTCATTAAAGAGAATATTAAAAAAGGTGTATATTAAACTCATCTGATTGAAATACTTAGGCATAACAAGAAGAATAATAGCAATAACATAATGACTTTTTACTCTGATAGATCCCTTGTTGATTATGGAAATGAAAATATGAAGATGTATGCAACATGGATACAAATTGGAGAAGTAGGAAGGAAAAGCAAGTTCCAAGCAGAGGTAACTAATTGGTCTTTATCCACAAGAGCAGAACTAATGGCAATAGTCACTATATTACTAGTAGTATCAGTTAATAGCAAGCACAAGATCCATACTGATAATCAAGCCTACATCTTCAAATGAAAAACTATAGAAAAGGAGGATCTTAAAAAAAAATCCACAAAAGATAACTAAAGAAACAAAATTGGTTCTTGTAAGCAAAATATTGAGCCTAGTAAAGAAAAATAAATTGGATCTAAATCTTATCAAGGAAAAGCGCACTCCAATATTCAATATAATGAGGAAGCAGACATTCTAGTCAAAGAAGTATTAAAGTTTCTAACAATAGAATGGAAAATCTAAACTCACTTAAAATTGTTACCAAAATCAAATGGCAAGATATAGTGCTGGATATTTCAATAAGACAGTTTGTTAAAAAAACTAATGTCAAAATAATGATGCACCAATAGACAATCCAAAATAGAATAAACAAAAAGTGAAGTCATCAAATTCAAGATTAGCACAGGCATACATGGGACCTAGTTTGAAAACAAATGAATAATAAGTACATATGAAATATCTCTTTCAAAGAATCACAAAGAAAAAACTTTCTTGTTATGATAACCAATGATGAGCTATCCATATTAACAAAGCTAGCCATAAGAAAATCAAAATTATACAAGCAAGTAAAATGTTTCACATATAGATAATAAGAAGAGACAATAGAACACTTGTTAAAATATCTAACATATAAAACTCAGTGGCAAGAAACCTGGCAGAAGTATATAGAAGATATGATACAAGGTTTCAATAAACTCCTGATAAATAAGAAAAAGGAGTCAGAAGAAAAAGAGATAAGCCTGGTAGTTGATGACAGAATGGAAAAAGAAGAAATGGATAAGAAAATAGTTCAACTAGTGAAAAGGATCTCAAACACTGGTCAGAATATACTTAGCTTCTATATGGGACTGATTGAAAAAGATCTAATAAATGAGATAGTAGACTCAAAGTGCTATAAAAAGAGAATTGGTAAAGAAGCAAGAAAGTGAATAATGAAGATGCAAAAAAAAAATACATAACCATTTCAGAAAGAAAATTTGGAATGTCAGATACAAAAAGATGATAGAGTAGGAATGGATATTGGAAATCAATAGAGGTGATAAGATCAAAAGGTCAATATATCTACAGAGACAAAAAAAACAGGACCAAAGTATCAGGAAATCGATTATATCAAGTACCATTAAAGGAAGAAGAATTTGAAAATGTGATACTTAAACAGGTCCTGTGAGGTGGGATAAAGTATGGGATAAAATGGTTGTGTTTTAATTTCTGTCAAAACTTAAATGAGTGATCTGCAGTAATGATCTGCAGGCAATAATATTAGAAGCTGAAAAGGTATTTATCTGAACTTCTAACAGAGTGATAAATTACTTCTGAAGTTGCACTTAAAAAGATAAAACAATCAAGATGAGTAAGTTAGCTAAAGAGTTAGCTTTAGCATCTAATGTTATATATATAGCTTACAAATATTTAATAAAGCATATGTAATTAGCCTGACAGAGAGCAAAAAAAAAAAAAAAAATTATATACAAAATTACGAAAAATTATTTTTGAATATAAAATTAATAAAATTATTTATAATTAATTTCTTTAACAATTATATATTTTTTATTCCTTTGTTTTAAAAACTAATATATTAACTTTTTATAATATTTAATTAAATTTTGATAAAGTTATATATAAAAACTATTTTGAATATATTTAAATTTATTTTTTTAGATTAAAATTTGAACCTAAAAAAAATTTTTTTTTCATAAATATTTATTTTAAAAAGTTTATATTTTTTATTCTTTCGTTCTTATAAATAATATTTTAAATTTTTTATATTTCAATAAATTTTAATTAAATTTATATATGACTAATTAAATACTATTAATATTTTTCTGATTTTAAATGTTACATATATATAATCAATCCCTAGTAATTAGAAAAAGAATAAAAAGAGGATTTACTTCAACAATATATCAAAACCAAATTTTTAGATATAAAAAAAAAAAATCCAAGCAATATAAAAACCTTTTTTATAAAAATCATGTCAATAGAAAATAAACTAATATTGAACAATAAAATTACAATGTTTAAGGTTCAAAAACAAAAAGAAATATAAAAGAGAATAGAACTTGAATTACTTAAAGAAAAAATTTAAAGTAAAATATAAATAATGTAACTTGTACAACATAAGAAATAGAACTATAAATCCTATTTTAAATTTATACTATTGTATATAACTAAAAAAAAAGTATATCAATTAAAAGCTATAATAATAAAAATTTCATAAAGTTTAAAAGAAAAATCTAAGGTTTACATATATAATATCTTAAAATTATTTTCACACAAATAAAAATTTTTTTACATAAGCTTTACTAATAGTAATAAATAATTGATATTTCATTTTAAAGAACAAAAAGATCTTTTTAAATATCTAGAAGAGGTAAACAGAAAAAATAAAGTCTTTAGTTTCAATAACTTGAATAAAAAATTAAAAATATATAAGACAACTATTTATTGATAAAATAGAAAAAAAGATATTTCAAATCTATAATTCAAAAAAGATAAAGATATACTATATAATATATAGTGTATAATAAAACTTTTTAGAATTCTTTATTTATTTATAACTTAATAAAAAATTATCTAAATAATATAAAAATTTAAATATATATTTTTAAAAGTTAAAGAATAAAGTTACTTAAGACCATTTATATAAGTTTTATATTATTTTATATTATAAAATTGATTTATAAATTTTTTATTATATTTTTACTATATAAAAATCAATATGAAAATTTACTAAAATTTTTTTTATTTTTTATAATTCAATGAAAAATTATTTATTTTATATAAAATTTTATAAATAATTTCTTTATAACTAAAAAACAAAATTAATTAAGATTTTTATATAAAATAACTTAATAAATTTTTTAAATTTTATTTTTTAAAAAAATTTTTATAATCTTTTTTTTTTATATGTAAAATTTTTTGTTTATAAATTTAATAAATAAATTACATAATAATTTTAATATTTTTTTTTTACATTTTTTTATATTTATGCTTTAAAAAATATATCATAAAGTTTTAAATAATTTGAATAATTTTTTATTAATTTATAAACAAAAATATGCATTTTAAAAAATTCCAAAAAATTTTGTTACATACTGTATATGCTGTATATACTGTATATACAGTAATTTTTTTTTTGATTACTTTATATGTAATTAATTATTATTAAAACTAAAATATTTTTATAAATAATAAATATAAAAAAGGATTTTTAACTGATAAATAAAGATGAATCAGATTTGAAAAGAAATAGATTTAATTGATATTTGTACTTTCTATTGATCATCGGAAGCATATATAAAATGAAAATCTCGAATAGTTTGATTACCGACAGTTTACTTGACCGTTCTTTCACAGACCAACATTCTTATCTGGTTATGCCGATTATCGGTTAATTCATTTCGAGTAAACCCTTTCTACATAACGCATTTATGGAAAAATGAATTCGGGGATTTCTTCTAATACGTCATACTTTGGCGTGTAGATGAAACAACTTGAGAATTTCCGATAATTACTTAAACATTACGTATGTTGTACTTCACAAATTAGATTAGATTTCAAAGAAAATAATTCGGGACCTGATGACTAAGGGAATTTATTCAGAAACGTAAAGATTCTCTCTTTTACATTACTATTTACTCATGAACTGCAAACCTTCATTCAGTAAGACCGAATCTGGGGAATATAATAATGATCATGGAACCCGTACCGAATAAGATTTTTTTAAAAGTCACCAAACTTAAAAAAAAGTTCATTTCTTGATTAACATCAGACTTGACCATAAAGGAGCAAGATTTCTTTAACATGTGACTCTCACTTGCATTGAAATATAGAAGTTCAGTATGTCATACTTTTACTTTCTGTGATGACGAGATTTTGATTTATGACGATTATCCTGCATTTGGGGGTCAGGTAATCAGTTTGAAAGGTTGAATCAAGTTTGGCTTTAGATTCATTTACGTAATTGTACTAATCGACACTTCTAGACTTCGTAGTTATAAATATTAGCTAGCTACCTCATATTTCTCAAGGTTTTTTTTTTTTTGGTTCATCCAAAGAAATAAACCTTTGTTTTTTTTTTCTTTCTTTTAATAATAATAATAATAATAATAATAATAATAATAATAAAATGGAGACACAAGCGAGATCTAAACCGCGTGATATTCCTTTTGTAAAAGACATTTCGAAACTAGTCGATTCCATGAATAAATTATCTTTACCTTCCGATACCAAAATTGCATTTCCATCTATTTCATCAAAACTTTCCAATGATCATGAATTCTCGATTAAATATCCCAATTCCTCATTAGAGAGTTCTACGCCGGACAAACAGCGTTCGGTTAGTTTTATTCTCCACGAAGATAGTGATGATCAATTTGAGCTCGAAACTCAAGATGACTACTTTTATGATTCTTATGGTGTATCTACTTCTCCGATGCAAGAAAAGTTTTTTGACACTCTAGAAGAATATACCATTAATATTTCGGGTTGTGATCTTTCTTCTGATATATTGGTATCTCTCATGGATCGTGACAAGGAGATGAGGGATCTTTTTATTCACAATCAAGAATATTTTGACTTGGTTAAACAAAGTATCTTTGGAATCTCTGAAGAAGGGTGGCAACAATTTCTTAAAATTCTTTATTCTCCTCGACGTATTCTTTTAGATTCTGAATGGATGTCCATTATATCGGAAACATTGAATCCTAATCCACCTCTTTTGGTTAAATTCAAAGAGATTGTTGGATATTGTGAGGTCGATGATGAAATTGCAAGCACCGGCAATGCGGAAGAAGATGATGATTCGAGTTTTTCTTACTCTTCTCCCTCACATTCTCTTAATTCTTGTATCGTTGGTCACGTTGACCCTGGGGAAAATCTTTTGGATGTCAGTGTGATTAGGGATTATCCAAAAGCCTTGGAAAGACTTGAAACCACCTATCCACAGTTTTTCATTAATGTAAATCAATTCTTGAGTCAGCAAACTGAGTATAGGGGAAGCGCATTGGGTGGAAATCATTTATCCCAGACGCGACGATCAGGTCGTAGCGGTAACAACGTTCTTCAAGAGAGAGGTACTAACGATAGCGAGTTATCGTCCTCTTGGAGGAGATACTTTCCGGTAGCATCGTCACCATTAAAATCAGCAAATTCACCATTGAAAACTCCAACACTTTATGATGAATTTAAATCTGTATTACTGTCTTCAAGAAGCGAAATGTCTGACGAAGAATGGGAAATGGCTATATATGAGTACTTGGACCCTTGGCCACAACTTGCTGCTCAATTCGGAGAAATTATTTCCTACGAAGTTGCCGAGGGTTGATTAATGAGAATAATCATGTTCTCTATTCCTACATCTTTCTAAATTTGTATAGCTGTACAGAATTCATAGCCTAATCATGTATTTCTTAAACTTCCAAAAGTATTATTAATCATATTCCGCCTATAGAAAAATTTATATGCAAAAAATAATAATAATGGTCAAAGATATATTGTAAAAAGAGCTTGTATTTTTATTATTATTGTTGTTAAGAGCAACAGCAAAACGTTGTATGCGTTTACACGGCAATTAAAAAATCGTGTGAAAATACAAGTCAAACCAAACTCAACCCTTCAATTTTATTTTTTGATTTTTTTTTAAAAAAAAAAAAGACTATCACAATGGAGTCTTGAACTCTAAAATATTTACATGAAAAGGTGACGTGGGCACAAAATATTTCATAGTAGAAATCAAAAAAGCGAAGAAATAGAACGATTTCTTCCTCGCACCGGTACATCATCGATTGTTTGACCAGTTTTCGCTTCCAGTAATGGTTTTATGGAGTTCACGTAGTCATCAAAAACCTGATGAATTTTGCACCATTGCTTTTTCATCGCCGTACCTTTCATCCGTGTCATCCGGAAGGTGGCATTGTTAGCATCAGCAGAATATTTTTCTACAACCTTGGTAATATCTTCAGATTCCAATTTAAAAAATTCATCAAAACAACTAAATTTATCGATTAATATTACAAGTTCGGTCATCACAATATTAACATCTTCTATAATTTGATTAATTCGTTGAAGTTCGTTCTCGTAACGATCTCCCACGACGGATGTGCCTACGGCGTTGATCAAATCATTTATGTTTGAGGCTGCAAGATTAACCCCGGTTAATATACTATTACCCACTGTGACCCAAGGACTGGCTTGTGGTTCTTGGATTTCCGGAACTTCTTTTTCTATTTTCTTTTCCGGCTTCCTTTCCACATTACTACGAACGATGTAATCTTCGAGTTCATTCACTATGTTTTTTAAAGTAGCCAACATATCACAATATCCTTTTGTTAGGCGTGCCGCGCTTGATTTGTTGAAAGTAGCCGATTGAATATGAGATTTCATAACTCCAATAAAATCTCCTCCTGAAACATCATCTTCCATCAAGATCTGCGTATATCTGCAGTTTTATGTTTTATTAGCGAACAAAGAATAATTCTCATAAAACATGTGGAGGCTGATGAAATAACTTACTCCATAAAATCCGTAGCATGCGCTGCCATCACTTCACAATAGCCAACCGAATCTTGAGTCATGGATCGAAATTTGCGACCCTGTTCCATGATCTCTTTGACATGTCTGTAAAAATTTACGTCCTTGATTTGATTATCAAAACATTTATCAAAATGCTCCAGGGCGGTTTTGACACTTTGTACTAATCCATCACGATCTGGTATTTGAGGACTTCGAAAGTCGTTTATATTCACTGTTGTCTTAACAGCAGTAGCGGTAGTTTCGCTTTGCTAATTATTTATTAACCGGCAAACTCAGTATGCATCAGCTTTTCTTTTTCTCTTAATAAATACAGTACATTAGGTTATACTCACAGTCAACATTTTAAATTCAGAAGTGTTTTACTAAGTTCTTTTAGAAAATCAAAGAAAAGGTTCCAAGTAACCTATATAATGCTTAGTGGAGTTTAAAAAGCGTATGACATGGCAGAA